TTTTTTTTTTTTTCTGAGAGAGAGAGAGACAGAGAGAACGCATGTGTGCAAGTGAGCGAGGGGCAGAGAGAGAGAGAGCATCCCAGGAGGGGCAGAAAAGAGAGAGAGAGAATCAAGGCTCGAATTTATGAACTGTGAGATCATGACCTGACTCAGATAATGATTTTTTTAAAAAAGAAAGAAAATAAGAGGTAGAAGAGGGTAGACTTATCAGCAGGACTGATCTGTGACACCACAAAGTAAACAGTCCAGAAATGTAGGTTTAAAAACAAGTTCTGATGGACTTGCTGACAATTAGCATTTTCCATCAACATTGCTATTTTCAGATTTTAGTCACTTGGTTGAATCCGGAATTTAAACATGGAAAGCAATTAAGTTAAAAGAAGTTTTCACCGTGATGTGACTTGTTCTTTCAGACCTCTGCACGTATCATTCATTCCCCTTGCATCACATGCTTTCTACTCCCAAAACATACACCTACTTATTTTTAAGAACCACCTCAAATTCACTTGCTCTCTGATGCCTTCCTTGACTGCCTCACTTGCTTTGTTCTGCACACTGCACCACCCTGTTATAGCTCTTAACAAGTGTAACAGTTACTTTTCTACATGCCCCTTCTCCCCAGAAGAGCTTCTAAAGAATGCAATGGACTGAATGTGTTCTCTCAAATCTGTGTTGAAATCCTAACACCCAATGTGTGGGTATGCGGAGGTGGGGCCTCTGGGAAGTGATTAGGCCATGAAAAGTAGAGCCCTCGCGAATGGGAGGAGTGCCCCTACAAAGGGATTCTGGTGAGCAATCCTCCTGTTTCTGGGCACGTGAGGGTACAAGGAGTCAGCAATCTGCAACCTGGAAGACCTCTCTCACAGACACTGGCCCTATGGGCACCTAGATTTTGAACTTCCCGGCTCCAGAACTGTAAAAAATAAATTTCTGTTGTTTTTAACCACCCAGTCCATGGTAGTTTGTTGTAACAGCCCCAACTAAGACAAAGGAAAAAGTCAAAGTCCTTTCAGCCTTTTCTTTCCAGGGACCAGACAGCAAATTTATGGACTGAATGATTAGCTGGTTCCCAAAGTTAATGAATGTTTCACTCTCTGGAAAGCAAAGCATGCTTAAATATGTAACACCTAAACTAAACTATTTAGAGGATATTCAGCACAGTACTTAAAAACATGAACTCTGGGGTAAGGCAGACTTGGATTTAAATCCTGATTTTGTCCTGTGTGATACTAGGTTAATTAGACTAAGGTGCCTCAGTTTCCTCAGCTATAAAATGGGGGATAATTATAATATGAAAAGCATCAAATTATAAGAATGAAACGAGACAATGCTCATAAAGAGCTTAACGCAGTGTTTTGGGCACAGATCAAGTCCTTGGAAAATCATCTCCCTCATTTCCCAGGGCATGTCTAGAAACATATCGGACAATTTTTTGGGTTGTCACAGTGATTGGGGGTAGTACAGCAGTGAGTGTCCTGTCCAAAACATCAGTAATGTCCCCCACTGGGAATACCTATCTAATGTTTTAATTGTTCGACTTAGCAATCCAAAACTGTATTAGAGAGGAAAGAGCCACTTACAGTTCCTGTACTATCATCTGCTCTTTCTCTAGGTTTCTGCTTTTGGGGAGAAAGAAGAGAAATCATTTCCTTTTTCATTTGCTGAAGAACCTTCTTAAGTTCAGCATTTTCCATTAGGATTTGTTTCTGACGATATTCATAATCATTCAAGAGAATTTTATACATTTCATCTTCATTCCTGAGAAAGAAACTGTCAGCATGAAAATGCAGTTATAGAAAGAAAAGTCTGATGAAATGTATCAATTTAAATTGGAACTTACCTGGCCTCAGTTTTACCCGTCCTCCAGGAGCCTCTTTTTCCATCAGCTCTCCCCACATAATTTAAAACTTCCATAGCTACAAACATGAACATGCAAAACAAAACCAATTCTTAACATACATATGTTTAAGTGTATAAAACCCTAACACACTATACACATACTGGAGACCTAAGTCAACCTGGTGCAGATCAGGATTTGGGCTCAGAAAGTCCAGGATTTCAAGTTCCAGTTCTCCATTACTGATAAACACTGAGATCTTGACAAGTTATTTACCTGCTAAGCCTGTTTCTTCATCAATACAGTGGGAATAATGAAAATATATACCAAAGAGTTGTTGTGAAGAGTAAAAGATGTTGTTAAAACACTTAAAAGTACTTGATAAATATATTATCATTGTTAATTTTATCTTCGGGGTTGGCAAACTATGGCCTGCAGGCCAGATGCCTGATTTTTGAAATAAAGTTTTATTACAACACAGCCACACCGTTTGTTTATATACTCTTACACCACAAGTGCAGGGATGAATAGCTGTGACAAAAGGCCACAGACTCCACAAACTTGAACACATTTACTATTAGAATCTTTATAGAATAAGTCTGCCAAGCCCTGCGTTGTCATCATCATCAAAGGAGCCAAAGCCCCTGACAGTATTAATTTCTCTTCTATCCTAGGGGGAGACGGAAGCAGTTGGCATAAGAAGGAAAGAAGATGACAATAAGTTACTGTAGTTTTAGCTTGATAAAATCATTATGAAAATACCACTTCCAGGTAGGTTTGGACTAGGAGACAGCCAGATTCCCACCAAATAAGAGCTCTGTTACCAGAGTTAAATCTTCAATAAACTTCTCTAATTAGTACACTTCATACTTCCAGCATTTCATCTTGCTCTTTATTTAATTCACGGATGAACATGAGGTTAACCAGTGAAGTTTAAGTTTGATTACCTAAAGATTTCCCACCTTGTCTTAATAGCTTACCCCACTTCCGATTTTCAGTAATGTTTAAAATAAGATAGCTGAATAACTGAGTCAATAGTGAGCTGCCTGCTGACAGTGGACATGGCCCACCATGTGACAGCTTGGGACATCTGCTCATCAGCTGTTGTGTCAGCAAGTCCAACTGAGCTCCGTTTCCGAAACCACGGTTTAGGGTATTACTGTAGCGTGCAGGTTAGAGGACAACCTGCAGCCCACGTGGGAACCACTCTTCGATAAATCAATGCACACATTTCCTGTTCTGCATCTCACCAGGCCAGTAAAACCTTGCGTGTAGCTCGACTTTTGTGTGCATGGTTCTACTTTGTAATCTATGTCATGTACCTGAAATTATGCTTGGATGACGTAAGCTGTAAATTAACTTTCGTAAGAGTAACACTACAAAGAAAAAAAAAAAAAAAACGTAGGCACAAACAAAAGCATAATGTCCACAGTCCCTTCTTTAGACCAGCTGCTTCAAAAATGCACAGCTACATTTAAAGGAAATGACATAGATGATTTGATGTGAAGAATAATCTTGCGAAGTTATTTCTAAAATCACATACTTTTTTTGATACTCAGAAACTCATCTTGCCTTTTCATATTATCAGTTCTTTGCTATAGAAGATTAGAATATCCTCTGGCTTAGTTTTTTCCCTATGGAACCACAACTGCCATATTAAAAAAATATGTAATTCTTATATGCAACTAAGGAAGCAAAGCAAAATTATTTACTTTTCACTAACGAGTTGTCTCAATTTCTAGTTTATGTGGATATATACCGTCTAGAGACATTTTATGCATAAAGCATAAAAATAACACTTCATGGGTTGTTGTGCTCCATCTATTCACATTTCTTTCTTAGCATATTAGCTTATGCATTTACTTTGCTCTATCTCAGCCAGTTGTTTCTTACCTATTTTTTTATCCTTCTTGTTCATAACAAGTTGATGCAGACGCTCCTTTAATTTATTATATTCACGTTCTTTTCTCTTCATATCATGATTATATTGAGTAGCTCTACTTGCAATGATATTTTGTAATTTTTGTACCTGAAAAAAGCATTTTCCATCAAATGAGTCCCTTTATGATTGACAATCCCCCAGTTAAAATTTATAAATTCAAAAGAGAATAGAAGTCCTAGCATTCACCTCCTCATAAAATAGTTTACTCTAGGATTATTCTTTCTTCTCAATAACCACTGGAAATCAGTTTGAAAAGTATCATTAAGTGAACCACAAAGTTTTTATTGTTTAATTCTGAAACTTCCAGAACTCCTAACTTTCGAAATTATCTTTTTCTACCCTTTTTACTCTACATTTAGAGTCTGATCATTTAGAAGCCAGAAACTCTTACAGAAGTATTAAAGTGATCAGAGCTTCATCTGAAACAAGAATCAATTGATCATTTGTAGTGACTTCCTTACATTACTTACTTGAACCACTTTATTCCCTATAAATCTGTGACAAATTAGCCATAGCACATCACAGCATGTAAACAGGTTTATTTTTTTGTTTTGTTTTTAAACAGGTTCATTTATCTGATCACAAACAGTTCTCAAATTAGAGTAAGCCCAAATAGCAGACAGAATCCAGTTCAAATATTTGCTGAGTACCCACGATATGCCATGCCCTACTGTTCAATGTTTAGATCTACTATGGTTTCTCAGCCAACCCTTGATAGAAAGCATGTTCTATTCTATAATAACATTTTTAATCTCCGGTGAAGATGATCACGTTTAACTCAATCCTTATTAAAGACTAACTACATTCAAACCACTTAAGTGTAATCAGCACATCAAGTCAACATTTTTCTGGGAAATAACTCAAGATAAACTCAAATAAACTCAAATCTTGCAGTTTAACTAAGATATTTCATTATCCACTAACGGACTATATTACCAGTCAAATATGATAAAATCTGTCTAAATCACTATAAGGTCATTAAAGAAATACGCTCCCTTAGAAGTCCTTAATTATAGTTTAAAAAAACATACACAACACTGAAAATATTGGATTTTTACAGTTATCAAGTGGTCAGGGATCAAAAACTGCAGAGCAGTAAGAACATAATGGTTTCTTCATATATAAATTAAAAAATAACTTCAAATGCATGAACTCTATAGATCTAAATACTAAGTAACCACTATAGCAGAAGTGAGATTATAATTATGGTATCATTAGCAATCAGAAATAAGATTTTTAAATGTGAATTCCTTTTTTTTTTAAAACCAATAACTCTTGGGGCGCCGGGGTGGCTCAGTCGGTTAGGCGTCCGACTTCAGCTCAGGTCACGATCTCGCGGATCTCGTGGTCCGTGAGTTCGAGCCCCGCGTCGGGCTCTGGGCTGATGGCTCAGAGGGGCCTGCTTCCAATTCTGTGTCTCCCTCTCTCTCTGCCCCTCCCCCGTTCATGCTCTGTCTCTCTCTGTCTCAAAAATAAATAAAAAAAAACGTTAAAAAAAAATTAAAAAAACAAAAAAACAACAACTCTTGTGTCCATTTAGTCAAGTAACTGCTTGACTGTATGAATAATGGATTTAAGATAAAGAAGAGGGATGCCAGATATTAAACAGAGATATAGCAGAGAATAAAAGATCTGCATTGAAAGCACCCCTGCCCCTCGGAAAAAATATCAATGCATTTGAGTCCAGGCAGACATTACAGGACACTGGCTGTCACAAGCTATGGACCACTACACTAAACCAAATGAATCCTCTTGGAGCAGGGATGACACAGAGAGTTCCTGACCTCAGTTAAATATGCTGCAGTGGTGTAGAAAGAGGTCCACCATACCAATTTGACAAAGGATGAATTAATGATTCTTGTTTTAAGGTAGCCATTATGGTCACCTCAAATCAAAGAAGAAAAAAAAAATCACTCAAACTTTGTCTTCAATAACTGACAACTCACTTCATCTTTTTCATTTTTCAGTAGCTGATGCAAATTCCGGTTCTTGCACTGTAACTGTCTGTCTCTTTCCTGAAGCCCAATCATTTCTCTCCTGGAGGTTTCCAGTTGTTCCTAAAACATCCACATGCAATCCTGATTAAAATTAACACAGGACTCAGAGCAAATGAATTTTTAGAAGAACAGTATAAACAATGTACACATACTAGGGTTCGTTAGCTAAAACTGCAGTTCAATGGCACACAAAATGTTTAGTTAAAACAATTATTCTCAAACAATACTATAAAGTTATAAATTTATTTAAATTCCAAAATGTTGTATGTATCTGACAAAAGAGTTTCAAAGCGGATCCCTTGAAAGGCTCTTCACTTATTCAAGTGATGCTGCCACTGGACACTTTTAAAATTTCCTTTTAGTACTTTGTAACATGGCTACAGCACACTCTTTGAGAAAGAACCAAAGTGATTTGGAGCTAAGTCTAAAGAAGATGGGTGACCAAGCAAGCAGCAACCCTTCAGGTCAAAAAAAGTGAGGCTCAGCACAATACTAGTTCTCCCTTGCAAGTGGGAACCTCTGAAGATTTTCTCCAGAGAGGAACGGAAGCATTGCTGGAATCAGTATGGGATAAGATGCTCACTTTGAATTCATTCCACACATTCCGTGAGGAAATGTGCCAGGTTCTGCATGAGACCATTGGAATATTTTTAAAAGCCTCTTATCCTTATAAAATAGAAAACCCACTCAACTTATGGCATAAGTGACCATAAATGACAACTTGCACAATCTCTTTAACAATGGATCTCAAGATGATTTAGGAATTTATAAAATTTAGGAATACAACTTGGATAACTAAGGCTGTCAGAATTTTTGGCACCTTCTTCTCTGGAGTGCTGAAAGCTTCCTATCATGCCAGACCATTTGGAATGGCTGAACTTAAAGGCACTGGGCCAGTTGACATGTCCCACATATGTCAAATCAGATTCACTCTGAGTAATTATCAGTGCTTTACCTGAACTCACTATCATCCCTGCAAATCTGTACACCCCCCTGCTATATCACTTAATTCAGTAAATCATACCATCATCCTCTGTAAAGTTGACAGAGACCTGGCTGGTATCTTAATTCATGACTCTCTTTACTCCCCAAATTCAATTTTTCATAGAATTCTACCCGTTTTACCTCCTAAGTTTGCTTAATATCTCCCTTTTACCATCTCCACTGGCAAAACCTTTCTGGCCTTAGCAGCTGCTAAGGCCTGCTAACAGCTGTCCTTTCCACCATGCCTTCTAGGCTCCCTACTTCCACCCCAAACACAAATCTACACTTCTCCCATAATTTCTCCACCCTACTGCCAGACTGGTATCTCTACATGATGCCCACGATGCCTTCTCTTGCTTACGTTCCTTGGTGCCTCCAGGTTTCTGCACAATGCACTCACATCATCTGACGCCTGGGTCCCAGCCTCACCTATCCGTCTTCATCATAATCATATAGTTCAGCTCCTACAGGGCTACTATCTGTTTCCTAAAAGTAAAATCCTCTCTCATACCTCTATGCTTTAAACAGGTTGCACCCTCTGCCTAGAATGTCTTTTCCAAACATTAGCAAATTTCTACTTATTCCTCAAACCTGAGATCAGTGTTAAGTCTCTGTGAAGCCTCCTTTTACCTCCAAGAACAATTAATGACGCAAATAATCTTAGTTCAATGTATCGCCTTCCACTGGACTACAATCTCCTTGAGAGCAGGGACTGGGGTTCACTCCTCTGTAAACCCATTGACCCTAGCACACAAAATACTCAATAAATTCTCCTCAACAAATTGAATGAATCATATACTAGGAGAGATTAGCAACTTTTGCCACTGAACACATTTCTGTCCACAGAGAAATACCGATTTTGGCCCAGGTCAAACCCTGAATTAGAAGACTTCCTGGAAAACACTCTATACTCTGGGCTGTCCTAATAAGCGACCACTCCTTAGGGGAAAGGGTAAACAGCCCCCGGTTATCAATATCATTGCACGATTATTCACTGTCTACTTAAAAAACACTCAGCCAAGGTTATCCAGATATAAAAAGTTTTAATGCAGAATTACTGCCTTCTTAGGCTTACAACTCTGAGTCACTCTAATTCATAAGACCTTCCATAGGCCTCTCTGATTAAAATTAAAGTACTATCCGCAACTCACAGCCTTTTTATAACCTGGAGGGTATACCAACTACCCCCTCCAGCCCACCACAGCTCCCCTGTCAAAATAATCTCTAGCCTGTAGGCACCGTAGGATGTACAGAGACCTAAAAATATTAAAGAAAAAACATTGTTATCATTTGGCTTAGCTTATGAGACATCTGCCTTATTGAAATACAGGTTGACATGCAATTTCTACCTTAAGTTTTGCATAGCAGTTCTGCAGATGGTCCATATCACTTCCCAGTTTCAGATTCTGTGTTTCTACATTTTCCTGAGCTAGAAGGTTCTTCCGCTGAAGTACAAGTAGCTCATTCATACAATTTAAAACAGCAACTATATTTAATTCTCTCTTTGTGTCTTTACCTTTGGATTCTTCATATAATGAAGGAAAACCGAAAGTAGTCAATTCCTGGTAGGAGAAAATGTTTTCCTCAAAGTTGGTTATCAGACAACTAAGTATAGAAACAAAAGACAGAAATATTTTCTGAGAAATCATAAAAACTACCCTGAGTTAAGAAAACTGTAAATATCCCAAAGGACAAAGAACAGAGAGAACTGGGCTCTTTTAGCCTCTGCTCTGCAATTGCCTGTATCCTGGAGCAAGGCACTCAGGTTTCTGCATCAGTAAAGTAAGGGAGAGACTCCAAGTGGAAGAGCCCCTAGGGTGATGTGCAGGCCAACCTGCTCCTGACAAAAACATTTACCATGTATCCAGACTAGATGATCACGGTGGTTCTCTGCATTTCTAGTGTGTTTAAGTCCCAGGCCGATACATAACAACATACATTAACAAGTGTTTTTCTCATAACTTCGATATGTTCTATTATATAACATGATTTATGCTATTCTTCTCACAAAACATTTTTTTTTACCTGATCAAGATATGAAACACTTTGTTCAATATTCTCCTCTGTGCAGAAGGCACTGAAAAAACTGTGCACATTTTTTGATAAAGGTATTGAAGAACATAGCACTTGCTGTGAGTATAAACTTGATGGAGACATCTTTGTTTCTGAGGTATATTGACAGATATTTTTGCTTTCTGAAAGAATAAAAGGTATTTACTTAAACAATTTATAAAACACATGCAAAGAAAACTATCTCCATTACCAAAGATGTTGAATTATATAAATATTTTTAAAAATTTTCAAATTCAGACAAAGCTGGTTTTTGTAAGAAAACTACACAAAATTGACCCTTGAACACTGCACTGACTTCCAACACAGCTGAAAAATCTGTATATAACTTCTGATTCACCAAAATTTAACTACTAATAGCCTACTGTTGACCAGAAGCCTTACGAATAACATAAGCAGTTAACACATATTTTGTATGTTACGTGTATTATATACTGTATTCTTCCAAAAAAGGAAACTAGAGGAAAAAAAGTGTTATTTAAAAAATCATAAGAGAAAATAAATATGCAGCATGGTACATTTATCAAAAAAAATTCTTGTATAAGTGGACCCACAAAGCTCAAATCCATGTTATTCAAGAGTCAACTGTACTTTTTTTTCAAAAAGATACAACTATCAAGTGCCCTTAGGAGGCATGTTAAGATACAATAGATTCTTAGTTTATACTATTTCAGATTTATAAAAATAACAGAAAAAAACCACCTATGTCAAAGTTTATATATTAAAGGAATAAATCAAAGTGTACTGAAGTAGCCAATAAACTCATTTCAAATGCATAAACGTTTCTCTCAAAAATAGTAACAATCAAACTCATCATCCGTCAAAGGCATTTAACCCCACTTAAGTATGGCACAATTCTTAGCTTTCCCAGATAATTTTTCTCAAAATAAAAATTTAGATATTTTACAATTATTTATGTCTCTCTCTAGTCACATCTTCAATATCTGTGGTAAATCATTTTACAGTTTCATTTAAAAATCCACCTTTACAATTACTGATTTAGTTTATACTTATTTTAGACTCAGGTACCTGAAGACAGATCTGGATCTGTAACAGTCATCCACTCTCCCATAGCAATCACCAGAGCCAGGATACCTGAGGAACCAGTTCAGCAGTGAAACATTCAGTCCAGCTGCTGTCACTCTTCTATGTAGGCATCTCCTTAAAAAGCAAATCATTAAATAACAGCATTTAACCAAAAAATCAATGTGTAAAAAGAAGGATTTTGCATTATTTACTCCTGCACTCCCATGGTAGAGCAGAATGATAATCTGTGTCCATGTATGCACGTGTGTGTATGTGTGTTTAAGAATCAGGAGTAAAGAGGGATGCCTGAGTGGCTCAGTTGGTTATGCATCCAACTTTGGCTCAGGTTATGATTGCACGGTTCATGAGTTCGAGCCCCGCGTCGGGCTCTGTGCTGACAGCTCAGAGCCTGGAGCTTGCTTCGGATTCTGTGTCTCCCTCTCTCTCTCTGCCCTTCCCCAATTCACACACTGTCTGCCTCTCTCTCAAAACTAAATAAACATAAAAAAAATTTTTTTTTAATTAAAAAAAAGAATCAGGAATAAAGAGTTCTAGTAAAGTATTCATATTTTTTCATATACGAAGTACACAGTACATGATTTGACTCAGAATATAAATCTAGGTACAGCATTGTTGTACTAATAGATATTTCTATATTATATTCTCTAAGATAAAGTACAAAGCATTTATACAGATAAGAGAAAGAAAAACTTCTTAGATAGCATTCTCATTTTTTGTTTTTACTAACTATATTAGCAAAAAAAAAAAAAATTTAATTGCAATTCCCAATGGTGGCACAGATGTAGAAAAAAGCATACTCCCATACACTGCTCGCCACAAAGATCACATCAATTTATACAACTACCAGCGATTCGGCAATATGTACCAAATCTTAAAAATGAAAACACATTTTGACCTAGAAAAATTACTTGTAAAGTTTTACCCTGATAAAATAATGATTTATGCTCATTTCAACAGCACATATACAAAAATTGGAACAATACAGAGAAGATTTGCATGGCCCCCGTGCAAGGATGACACACAAATTTGTGAAACATTCCATATTTTTTATGTGGAATTTAAGAAACAAAACAGATTAACATGAGGGGAGAAAAAAGAGAGAGAGGCATAATAGGAAAAAAAGACTCTTAACTACAGAGGACAAAATGAGGGCGATGGAGGGAGGTGGGTGGGGGGATGGGCTAGATGGGTAATAGACATTAAGAAGGGCACTTCTGATGAGCACTGAGCATTGTATTTAAGTGATAATCACTGGATTCTACACCTGAAACCAATATTACACTCTACGTTAACTAACTGGAATTAAAATAAAAACCTGAAAGTAAAAGAAAAAAGATTTGTACAAGGATTCATCTACAAGTTGTTCTTGAAATCAGAAATAGCTTGTATGTTCCACAGGAGACTGGTTAAATAAATGACACATTTATACAACAGAACACCTTTAAACACAACCATGTGGAGTTAGGGTGGTTAAAAAATACATGAGAGGCCAGAAATATGTATGAATGAAGTGGACTAAGTATAAGAACCTTTCATATAACAGTTTCAGCCTACCATCATTTCCACTTTTTTATAAAGAAAAATGGAAGAAATAAATACTTCTACACCGTAAAAAAATTCAAATGAAATTTTGTGAAATCTCCTAATGTTAGAAGCTAATTAGAAAATTATGCAAGTACCCTGTGGAAGGGGCAGTGGCTTGGAAGGAGGATGTGAAAGAGCCTTTTCCACAGTGATCCGAGATGGCTGCACAAGTATACACATTAGTACAATCCTTCAAGTTGTACACTAAAGATCCGTGCACTTAACTGGATGTAAGTTACACTCCAAACAACATTTTTTAATAAGCCAAATAAAAGGCCGGATCTGGATTATGAAACAAAGAATTCACAGCCCATTCTGAATATTTAAGATTATGGAAATATTCATAATGTAATACTGAAATGAGAGGAAAATTTTCATTCATTCAATATATTTTTAATTGTGCTACTGTGTGCCAGGCACCCTCTTCTAGGCACAGGGGAAGCCCTGCTCTCAAGTTTACATTCTGGGGGAGGGGGGGAGGGGTAGAAATAGATAACGAGACAATAAATTAACCTAACACAGAGTGATAAGAACTATAAAGAAAGCTAAGCACAGTAACGTGAGAGTCCTGGAGTGGGGGTATCTAGATTCATCAAGGAAGGCTGCATGGAAATGTTGACATTTAAACTGAGACGTAAATGATACACAGTCAGCCACAAGATGTTCCAGCCCAGGTAGAAGGAACGAACTTGGTAAGAATGAAAACCATAAAGAAGGCCAGTATCTCTGAAGTACACAAGGACAGATGGTAGGAAGGTAGATTTTCTCAAAGTAGCAGTGCAAAGCCATGGAAGGCATTTAGGCAGTAAATCAACAGGATCTTCTCTAGGCTTTGAAAAAGATCACCTCAGCTACTCTATCCCCTGAATATATTGCAGGTGGGCAATAATGGAGGCTGGAAGATATGAGGCTACTGCAGGAGTTCAGGCAAGAAGACACTTTTACATTACAGCTTGAACAGAAATAGACACAGGTAGATAAATTAGCGATGTGTTTTGGAGATAGAATCTTCAGGACTTGGAAGATGGGATTAAAAATACACAGAAGAGAAATCAAGGATGATTTCTAGGTCATAACAGCAGCCTATAATACATACTAATGCAAATTATGTGCTGTATTACATGTTACAATGTCACACACATACAGGTGGTTACCCAATCCGGCACCAATTTTTGCTATTTTTCTACTCATGTGCCTTAGCAAGAGCACCTTGAACTATTTTGCACTTCCCTCTGTCCTTAAATGGGTGCCTTCAGGAACAGGATAAGCAGGATAAAGGTCTGCACCAAGAAAGACAATGATTTCACTTTTTGCTTTCAGAGCTAGCAGCCATAAACAAAACAGGATCTAAGGGACAATAAACCCGTCTATACCAGCCCAGCTCTGCTTTGGTTAAGTTACTTAACCTCTCCAAGCCCTACTTTCCTCACTGGTAAAATGACATAATAATGGCTTACTTCATGATTTTCCCTGAGGATTAAGTGAGCTCAAGCACATAAAGTACTTAGCACACGACTCGGCATATGGGACACACATAATTACTATGAGTTGTCATCATCACCATCACCATCATCATCATCTGGACACAGATCTGGACTGCTTGAGATAAATGACAGGAGATTCCATAATCTATATAACAAAAGGCACTGTTGCTCTTAATGATAAAAGTTGAACACAAATCCTGAGAAAATGTGGAGGCAGATATTCTCATAAAAACACAAATTTTCAGTGGGTTAATTCTTTGTAATCATTACACAGAGGGGAGGCATCATATCAGAAGAAAATAGGCACTTTCCCAAGCCCTTCTTGTTTTTGTTTTGTTTTTTAAATAAGACACAATACTGCCTTAAGTACCTTTTGTCTTCATACATAACAGAAAGATCAAACACCAAAATGTTTGCTATACATCCATTCTTTAAAATTGTAGTTTAAGTCAGTTATTCTTCTTCTGTGAATGTAGCTCTGTCCACTGTCTACAGGTTTAGACAGTGAATTTGTTAATTAAAATAACAAAAACAATAAGAAACAACCAACTGTGAAATATTCAGGTCTAGTTAAATGTTCACAATGAAAACCAAAACTCCACTTTGAAGCTCTACCAAAAAAAGAACTTAAACAACAGTATCTGACTTCACACAATCTAAAAGTTTCTAAGTATCCTCTTCTGTTCAATGATGCACCAAATTATACGCCAGAATGCTTGTAATAAAAGAAGTTGCCCAACCAGACTATTAATCAATATACATCCCCAAACCAAGAGACTAAGTTAAGCAAGTTATTTCTAGCTCAACCACAGCTAAATTTCAGTAAGGATACCAACTATTTTTTATAAAGATATTATAATAAATTAGTATTAACTTCAAAAGATAAAGAAAAAAGCTAACAGGAATATATCTGCTCTGCATAAACCTAACACCATCACAAGTATTTCAACTTTGAAAGCTTCAAAAGCAGCCAAGAAGGACCCCATTAAAGCCAAGTGCTGAAACACACAATGAAAAGTTCCACATAATAGATAAATCAAGTCATAGCAAATTATTACACAGTGAACCATGAGCACCCATGACAAGTCACATAAGAACAAACTTGGTTATACTAGCATTGTTATTATAGATTCACTATAGAAGGAGAAAAGGAAAAGGTCTATAGTAAATCATTTCAGATTCAAGTACACTGCAACCCCCATTTCTCTCCATATACCACTGGTTAGGGAAGCTGTCTGGATTCCAAGACAGATGAAATTCATGAATGAATTTTATGAGCAAATCTTGAAGATTGAAGAATTTAACCATCCTGTAAAAGTCCTTTCATTCATCTAAAATTGTTGAGGAATAACCCTGAAATAAATTAAAGAAAGAAAACATCTATAAAGTAACCCATAAAAATTCTTTCTCCTATCCTCTACATCAGAGAGTTTTATTCCCTCCTCGTGGGTAACATATATATAGACATCTAAAAAACTTTCTTGATTCCAAGTATTTCTCAATGTACATTCCAGTAAGTCAGTCTACATAACAAATAATCTTACTAATTTCAGCAAAACTGCAGTAATTTCTGTAAAAATGTTACCTTACTCTTTTCTGAAGAACTACTTTGGCTTCCTTAATATGTTGCCAAAGTACCAATGCCATATTTCGAGTATAAATAAGCAAGGGTACTCTAGTCTTTCCTGGGTAAAATTATTATGCAGAGCTTAAGAATTGTCTAGTGGCATTTTCTAGGTTAGAATCCTAACAGAAAATTGGGAAATGGTAAGACATCTGAAATTAATTGTACCCTTTATGAAAAACGAAGACTTTAGTAAGTTTCATAAGTTTATCATTCTTCATGTCAAAGCATTTTCTTTCATATATATTTATCTATATTACAGACAGAAAACTTGGGCTCAGAGAGGCCAACAGGATTGCCTGAGGCCACATTTCTGGTTGGTTGTGAAGCCTGGACACAAATCTGTCTTCAAAACTGCTCTTTTCACTCTGTCACCAGGTAACCTTTCCACACTGTTCATGCAAACCTCTATATATA